CTAGGGGCTCCCGTAAGAAGACCATAGGTCTGTGGGAAACACCCTAGTAAAATAAATAAAATAATAATAATAAATAATAATAACGACAACTAGCACTGCCCGACAAATGACGCTTGGGCAGTGCTAGTTGTCGTAAGTTGTATAGTGATGATATCTTTTCGATTTTGACTCGTGGAAGGTCTAAGTTACATCTTGCTGTGTTAGAAGCTCTGTATATTCGTACAGTCAATTCAGAAAAAAATGAACTTCTAGCTTTTGGCCAGAAATGGGTCAAACGTTGAGTTTTTTTAGAATTTTTTTCTGCAATCCCATATGGAATCCTCTTCCAATTATGTTTCTGAAGTTTGTTTGTCCAAAAAGCAAGCCATAGCAAGAATAGGATTTCGGCCAGGTTTTGTCCCAAAAGCACTGAATTGGGAAAAACCATCAAAATCCAGGCCGTTTGACCCCGCCTGCAACAGTGCATTCTGCGGTTCGAACCCCAGTTCAGGCACCCTTTTTGGACCCTTTTTCAAATTTCAAAGTTCGCAGCACTGCACTGTGTACGATGAAATCACGAAAAATCGCCAAATACGGGAGCTCGCCAGAGCCAGGACCCATCTTTTTATGAATGGACTGTAGATCCAGAACTATGTGTACAGAAGGAGAATGTGTTATCGTTGCAGTTGTTTGGTGTCACACCTCGTGAAAGTGTGACAAGTGTTCCCTGATGTGTTCAACGTGTTTGTCTACAACTTGCAGCTGTTTGTTTTTGAGTTTTTAACACTTTAATCATTTTTAAAGGGGAAGTTAAGGCAAAAATTAAAATTTCACCAGTTGTAGTCTTCGGGGTGCTGAGTCGAATAGTCTTGGTCCGAGAAAGCTGAGACGCTCCCTTCCTACTTGAATCCCAATCGAACTCGCGCACTTCCACCGAAACTGGGTGACTGCGCCCTACTAGAAGGGGATTTGTATGCAAAATGTCACTAAAAGCGCCATTTCGTTCTTATAAAAGCACGGATGACCGCGATTGGCCCATATGTTGTAGTCTTTTGGACGCTGAGTCGACTGGTTTTGGTCCGAAAAGGCTGCGATGCAGCGTTCCTCCTTTATTCCCAATCGAACATGGTGGAACAAGCGGTCACGTGCTCCTGGGTGCCCAAATCACCTGGTCACCACGCCAGCAGGCGACAACTTTCACACCAAGGTTCAACTCGAGTTCAACTCGAGTGACAGGACTGCACCCAAAAAAGGTCAAACAGGCTAGTAAGTTGTACCCTGCAGGCACGGTGACCAGTAGGCCTAGCCCAAATTTGCCGGCAATGCTTCCAGCAAAATATCGGAATTTCCCACGAAAAGAAATTGCCGGCAAATTCCGAGCAAATTATCGAATTTACAGAGGATCCTGGTGTGTTTTGGCAATTTTATTCAAATTTCTTTGGTTTCATGGGCCAATGTCGTGCTGAAATAGCTCGTGCAGGTTGTCAGGGGTACATAAATTTGAAATCATGCTACAAAATCTGTAATACTGACACCATTATAAGTTTTGCTTTCCTCATCAGAGTCACCATCCACTTTTACCAAAGTAGACGGTTCATTCGAAGCCATTTTTGCCACAAAGCAGGAGCAAAATGGAGCAAAATATCGGAAACAAAAGGCAATGCCAAGCAAAATATGGAAAGTGCTCGGGCAAAATTTGCCGGCAAAATATCGAAGCGCCTCGAGCAAATTTGGGCTAGGCCTAGTGACCAGGTGGCTGGTGTACGCAGGAGCACGTGACCGCTTGTTCAACCATGTTCGATTGGGAATAAAGGAGGAACGCTGCATCGCAGCCTTTTCGGACCAAAACCAGTCGACTCAGCGTCCAAAAGACTACAACATATGGGCCAATCGCGGTCATCCGTGCTTTTATAAGAACGAAATGGCGCTTTTAGTGACATTTTGCATACAAATCCCCATCAGGCATCTAGTAGGGCGCAGTCACCCAGTTTCGGTGGAAGTGCGCGAGTTCGATTGGGATTCAAGTAGGAAGGGAGCGTCTCAGCTTCCTCGGACCACGACCATTCGACTCAGCACCCCGAAGACTGCAACTGGTGAAATTTTTAATTTTTGCCTTAACTTCCCCTTTAACACCTATGTTGAAGTGTTGACTTTTTCTTTCTTTCATTATCCTGATTATAGTTATGTGTTTTTCTAATTTCCAACATTCCCTGTACTATCCTGAAGAGAAGGGAAAGAAAACGTTTGATAGAAAAAGTGTGTGTGGATTTGCGTCGTTGCATGCGAATACGTATTACGAAACTGTTTTTCCCACCGCCTCCAAACTACTGTTTCAATTGTTAGTATTCGGATTAACCTAGGATACGACTCTGAACAGTTCTGAACAGTTACCGCAACACTACACGCCGTCTCATAACTGCTGCTGTTGCCATCACTGCTATCAAGTAGTTAGGACATGGCAGGAGCTAAAAAAATGCTGGTAGTCTTTCAAAGAATACTGGCGAGTGATGGGCTGTAAACGAAATGTGCTGCCTCAATAATTTCAAAAACTAGACACCCATGCGGCACGCTTGGAGGTGAAGTACAGAAGGCGAGTCGATCCGAGTATGACTTTTCGGACTGGACTGGACTGAACTATTCCAAAAATAGATATCCTTAGCTAAAAAAACGCTAACGTAAACGCAAACCTTTCCGTACTTCGGATCGTTCAAGCTGACTTTTCCCTTAGCACAAAGTACGTTATAGTTGAGACGAAGTAGTCGTGACAACCATGGCGATATGAATTTTCGTGGAAACAGATGCGGGAAATTCAAAATTTTGAACCAGGGATTAGTTTGCTGTCGTTCCGAAAGAATACCTTGGCGAGGTCTTTTACTCTGGAATAGCAAAAGCACGGCGAAAATGAGTTTTCGCTGTTCCCAGGTCCTTGGAAACCCTTTCCTAAACGCAGCACCGAAGACTGTAAGGGTTCTCCAGCTCCAGCACGTCTGGGAGAGGCCGATGAATTTCTTCCTCAGGAGTGCCGTGGAACTGGTCCTTTGTTTCCCAGATGGGATAGAGGGGAAAGGCACGAAGCAGATTCGAGGACGCAGAAATTGTCAACTGAAAGGCAAAACTCGCCAAAAAAGCTAAATGTCACAAGAGGAAGCAATCTCGACTCTCCATCTCATCTCGATCTGCACGACGTGCTTTTCATCTCCCGCCAGTTACAAAACAATGCAAGTTTTTGCATTTTTTTGCAGAATTTCCATAACGAACGTCGGCCCGTTATTTTGAGCTCTGTAACGTTTTTCCGTTTAATCCGATAACGTCTTTTGTCACGGCTGGGAGTGAGTACCGTAAAGGTTAGCGTTATCGTACTTTTGCTAAGGATGTCTAATAACAACGAGGGCCCCGACTCACGGGTGCGAGTCAACCCCTGTGACACGGATTTCTGTGCCGTGTCACCTCCCCGTAGTTTGAGTACGACTCCCTGGTCGATACCTAGCAAATCCGTACACATTTTCTCTGCGTGTGCCACAACGTAGAGAACTAGAACCCCATCTCCGCGTAGAAATCTGGAGCCAAAACACGCGAAGCCGTAGACTCTAACCCAGACACCTGCTCTCTACGTGATTTCTCTACGTTTCACCAAGAGACTGAAGAGTCCATAACCCTGGGTTATGGACTCTTGGTTTCACGTATAGCAGAACCTCTCTACAAAGTATTTCAACCCGGGTTGCGATATTGCCTGGCCTACTGTGATGACCGAGAATTCTACTCGGGAGCAAATACTCGTAACAACAAGCTGGGAGGGAGAGCGTGACGAGCAAAATGTTGGGATGAAAAGAGCGACATTCTCTCTCTCGAAAAAGGTCGTTCCTGCATGCACGCTTGCTCGTACTCGTAGATTTTGCATGCAGGTATGAACCTGCGCAGGTGTGAGATTCGCATCCGCCGCGCCCATACATGTAGGCTAGGTAGCGTCGAAATTTGTGTACTCTCGGATTTGCCGCCATCTTGACGAGTATGCCGTTTTTTCTGAGCCACTTCTAATAATTCTAGGCAAGCTACGTGTCCACTGGATTGTTGCAAGTGGAAGTGCTATCCTTCATGCCCGTTATGTCAAAAAATGGGAATGATCCCACTTTGGAAAGTGTCTTGAGCATGCCCTACTTTTACTTTTTTAGTATTCTCAGGATTGAAAATTGGTGTGTCATTTTTTAACAAATTTGTAAAATGGCATCACAAACTGGGATATTCGGTCATCAATGACAATGTTCTGAAGTTGATAGATATCACTTCAAGGATAGCTAGTGGATGAAAATTAATCTGTCAACTGCATTGTATGCTGCAAAAGCTGTGTTTTTGAATTTGTAACTAGTACATGTAGCTGTGTCATACGGTGGAATTGGCTAGGTCGCATAGCATCGCAGCCATGTTTTCATTCTCACAGAGTGTATTCTGTGACCTACTGTTCTTCATTATTGTCTTTAGTGATGGCAAGACGGCCTGACCTCGTCCAAAGGCTCTGCGGAAGCAATTCACTGCCCTCCTCGTCCATTCAGGGGCTTATTTTATACATTTTACACAAAATGGCGAAGCGATAATTGAACACACATACTGTAAGTATGCATGACATATGCTGTAAATCGGCATCCAACGATTTTCTTCCGGATGGCGAGGGATCCGGATAAAAGAGGACCGGATAAGCGAGGTCTGACTGTACCATATGACCTAAATTAATAATGGAACTAGTCGCATTCGACAAAGGAGTGGGCAGTGGCAGGCTCACAGCAGCTGCCACATATTGCCAGCGCGAACTAGCAGCCGTGAATGCTCAACATTCAAGCTCAAGCAACACCCTGGCCCTGTGGGTGAAGCTAGCTTTCGCAAAGGCACAAGCGACTTGCACCGGCAACTTTCGTGGAGAGTCTGAACAGCCTAGAGACATAATTATCATTCCAATACTTCTGGAATCATACAAACGTCCACCAGCAACGAACAAATCGTATACCCTCTCGCGTTGACAAGCATTGGAGTAACAGGGAACACTCTCAAGAATAGCTTTTCAATGTGTTTGCGTAGAAAACGAACACCCCTATAGTGGAAATGAGCTAATCGAGCTAGAGTTGAAAAGATACGATTGCAGACCGAACAAGCAGAGCCGCTAGCCCATGAGAAATGAAAGCGAAGATAGATTGTACATAGTTAGAATGGCGATAGTTTTCCTTGGGCATACGGGACACACGGAGATGAGTTGGGGATGAAGCGTCCTTACACATTCGGTCATCGGCCACTCTAGAGTTCCTTGCGTGCCGGTTTGGAGGTGATCATGAGAGCGGAAAGCGCTGATTTGAACTGTCCATCGACGTGAGCAACTAGACACACAATGAAAGTGGGAAGAAAAAAGAAAAAATCACTGATGTAACTTGTGAACCAGGAAATCTGACTTGGCTTCACGGAAGACTGCGGAACACAAATGCACACTTTTTGCAGGGCTGTGTCCAAGCATGAGGATGCATTTCTTTGGTAACAACCATAAATGTGTGATTTTCACAGAGGTACCGAACACAGAGATTACTTTCGGCCTGAAGAGCAGTAAAATAAAATACTGCGACAGGGCTTTCGGCCATACTACAGTTGCGCTCGGTGAAATCCGGCCCGAAGTGCAAAGCCGGCGCCGCGAAGCCAGCTCCCATTACATCACTGGCAATTTGTGTGTATGAACTCAACTGTACGCACCTCGTGTAAAAGTTCGGAGTAAACGTGTTGCATGCTAAAAACAGTTCAAAATTTCTTCCATTCACTTCACGAAGTACAGGTCAAGATCATGAAGAGATAGAGAAGAAGGACATGGCTATTCCCAATGTGTGGGCTCTTCTCAAGAAGAGAATAATCCCCACATCGCTGCGAGAATGCTGACCAGCTGGTGCAGGCACTGCACCTGGAGTGGGACTCGTTGGCTCCTGGCACCGTTTCCCCATACGTGGAGTCAATGCCACGTCGTGTTGAAGCCCTAATCGAAGCAGACGGTGGCCACACAAAATAGTGAAGCCCTGCTGCTCTGTGTATGAAATAAACTGCCTCGAAACGATCTCCGCGATCCGTCTCTTGTGCTGAACTGAAATGAATGTTACACTTGTCTTTGTTTGGCGCGGTTTTTTACACTTTGGTGTAAGCATGCATGCGTATGAGTACAGCACATGCACAGTTCCTCGCTGCCATATCCATGCCGACTCACCTACTTCAGATCTATCATTTTGCCTGAATTTTTGTATGCTTCTATTAGTTACTACCCGTATTTGACAGTTGCTCAGGAACAACGGCTACATAGGCTGTTCAAACGTGCCGCTCGGGCAGTCTGCAAGTCGCCACCGTGGACCAGTACACTAGCACTTTGTACAACTTTGAGGGCGTCAAGGGCCGCATCAGTACTGAGCGCCAGTTATGCACTTCAGGCCGGATTTCACCGAGCGCAACTGTACTTTACTATACCCTCCAACCGTCACCACCAAGAGCGCATGGTGGTGACTGGTGGAGCATAGTAAAAGCCGTAGAACAGTATTACAACATACCTGTATCAAAATCAACCTTGTATTCCGATGATGAGAGTTGATTCTTTGCCTGTACACAGACCAACAGTCAACAATACAGCATCAGTGTAGTTCCGTCACAAAGCCGCGCAAACTATAGGGAGGTTTTCATGGAGTTGCATAAGTAGTCTTTTGATTACGTCATTACGATGGGTACTACTTAGCATCGAGTAGCATCACAAGTACTGGTCTGCCACACACACGCACGCACACACACAAAACGTAGACAATGATGCCACTCAAACCACCTCTATACAGCATCATAGAACGAAGTTTAGCACAGAGGTTATAGCATGACATCTGCAGCACAGGAGAGGCGAGGCAGTGATAGGTCGGGCGCTGTGAACGCCTCTACATGTATCCGGCCGTGCAGATTGATGCATATTGCCGCTTGAGCCAACCAGTAAACCCTTCCTTAGTGGCAGCGGAAGGCTGAGAGAAACGAATACTACACACATTTCCTGTACCCAATGTGTTTCCAATCGAGTCCCAGCAAAAGGCCAAATGACCACCACTTGAACATGAAAGGAACGTAACCTTAGGCACTCCCATACATGTACAAGGAGAGTATGAGTGCAGGTTTTAGATCCTGGCGTACACGAGTGTCGGGGTCATAAGAAAATATCATTATTATACATGTATAGCATTCATGAGGCAACTACATGTACACGAGGGATCAACATACGTATGCTTCGACGCTGGCGATCTCCATGCCAGTTAGCGACGCAGCAAACTTCTGGAAGAACAAGTAGGAGCCTTTCATTGGCCGTTCGACGATACAGGTCACCGATTTGTCGCCATTCTCCTTGATTGTCATTTGCCAGTCCTAGTGGCACAGAAGCATAAGCAACATTACACGGAAATACGCAGGAACATAAAATTGAATCTCAATTACAAGCTCCGTGCATATCATACAGAAATTTCCTTCAAACTTTCATGTTCGGAGTTTATTCTTGAAGGGATGTAGCTTACCAAAGAAGATAGCCAGAAAATCATTATACTTCAAAGCATTATTGCGCGTGTCATCCATAACCTGTCAGTCCACGTTCCTGATACTCTTTCTAGGACTTCAGCTCATGGCATGAACATCATACTATAACAGGAGGACAATAAACCGACGGTGCAGCCATGGCACGAGGGTGGTTCTACAAAGAATGGGACTGCGGTGTGTAGTTAGTCAGGGGACGTGTGTAGTGCACAGTGACTATGATCTCTATTCAAGCAGCCCGTCACACTTACCTCATTCGTACCACCGACAGTTGTAAATGAGAAGACACATGTTGCAGAGCCCTGTGAAGCATAGTCAGATGCACACATGTACACACACACACACGCACACACACACACACACAAACGGCACACGCGCCAACGCCAAAAGTAAGGCTTCTCCACTCACCGTATTCGTTCTACAATGCAATACGCCGTGGAATGCTTCACGTGTACTTGGCGCAGTGCTGTGACTGATTGCAACTGATCCAGACTCGAGAATCATGCAGGCAAACGCCATGCTATTATCATACACAACTTTTATTGGGCAATTCCAAGCCCATTCTGTCTAGTCACATTGTCAAACAGTGGGCACTATCTTATACTGTAAAACCAGAATTTTCGGTGGTGTAATATTTTCGGTATCCAAAATCGGCGGTTCGGTGGAGGGAAATTTTCGGGAAACCTGTTTTCCAGGTAAGCGTACTAGTACCACAAGTGCGTTTTCGGTGCGTTTTATTTTCGGTAATAGTTTCGGCATCGAAGCTACCGAAAATAAAACACCGAGAATTTCTGCTTTTATAGTAGATGTCCGGCACAGTGTGCTTGTGGTAAGTCACGTTTCGGTATTTTTAGAGCGAGTGCCTTTTAAATATTGGAGACTGATACGCATATTATTCCGGTACATGCACGCAGTGTACTCCTATTGGAGACGTGACTTTATTAGAGGCCACGCTTATAATGGAGAAAACACCCTATGCGCGGTTACACGCAGTATGGCCCACCGTCTGGGGCTAGCAGTGCATTGAAGCTATGTGCGACACTTCGAAGATGCATTTCATGAGTTCAAAGAGTTTTACTTGTGAACGTCTGCCTTCTTTCTATTTTGCTTTTACATGATTATTCGTGCGGTATACAGTCATGAGCTGAGTTTGAGATTCAAATTGTTCGTACTTATTTACAGATCATTACATAAGGTGTGCAGCCCGCTCTTAACAGACTGTTTTGTGACTAGAGTCAATGCCACACACACAGCGTCAATCACCCGCTCGCAGGTTACTCTGTCTCTTGCTCTTCCCCCGGCTAATAACCGCTATGGCTTGTACGCATTAAGCTTCTTAGGTGCAGATCGCTGGAATTCGCTCCCTGCTTCTGTTCGTATTTGCTCCACGCTATCAGACTTCCGCTCATCTATACAAAAACATATAGGGTACCCCGTAAGAAGGCCTTAGGCCTGTGGGAATGCCCTATTAAAAATTTAATAAATAATAATAATAATAATGAGCACACTTTATTGAACTGTTTTTATGCTTAGGGCTTGGACTGCATTATAGAGTCTAGTACAGTCACGATTGTCAAATTGATGAGGGACAAGTTCATCAACCCATCTCAAAGAATACGAACATCCACAAAAATGTACTACTGGTGACTTGAGATGATTAATATTTTGTCTGTTCTATTGTATTTCCTTACCAACGACGCACTGTGGTGTGAATGCTGGCCGCTGGGTTTCACGTCGAAGTGAGTTACGGAGTCAGCACGGCAGCAGACCACAGCTGCAAGGCAGGAGATCACCAGCACCTCGAGATGAAGTTCCATCGTGACTACAATGTACTTTTCAATCTTCAAATAATTGTCTTCCACATAGCACGAAAGATTTTATTGATGTTCCAAATAATTTTAAATTTTATTATTATTGTGTTGATGACGTCATGTTCGACGTGTACTATCCGCCCGTATTTTGCTTCTGGGTTTTCCAGCTTCGCGAGTTTTCCTGGGACAAACCTGTCTTGAACCTTCCCTTTCGTAAGTTTTGCCTTTTGGTTTGTGCTAGCAAGAGGCCGGTACACACTACAACTGTAGGGAGTATTGTATAACCCAATACCGGTTCAGAACCAGTATTGCCTTGGTATGCTGTCAATGTAACACACTAAGGAGTAGTACAACTCCCTGGTAGTGGTGCACACTGTATCAGGCCAGGGAGTCGAGTACGTAGATATACTCCCTGCTCCATAATGCTGTACCAAACATCGCACTCAGGTATGCAATGGAGAATACACAATTGTCTCCGCGTCGATTATTAGAAGTAGAACACACATTGACCACCAACATGTAATAACAAGCTACAGTGCTGGCAACTGAAATCCGACCCCCTGGGCGGCGCGGTGCGCCGGCCAGGGGGTCGGATTTCAGTTGCCAGCACTGTACATTATGCCATACACAAGCAGAGTACCCGGCCGGTAACTCGGGCCACGGAACAAATACGGGATAGTATACCGAGCACAGCGTGAGGGCAGAGCTTGCTCACCAAGTGACAACACACAGGGAGAGACAGGACACTGCATGACTGTAGTTTTGACTTTGAGTTTCAAGGAAAACGGGAAAAAGTAAAACAAACCGGCGAATCAGTGCAAACGTGAGCTGAGGTGCACACGCACTACTACTACTACTAGTGCAAACCAGGGAATCGTGAAAAGGCGGGCTTTCACGACTCCCCGGTGCGAACATGAGAACTGTGAGGTATATTATGTATCAGATTGCAACGACCAGGAGGCTCTTAGTAGTGGCTGCAAATGACCGATATCCGTCACTTGCAGCTCTGCATCAGAGACCTGTAGCTGGCCTGAAGAGTTGTAAAATTACTCCTTCGTAGCCGGGCGAGTCAGAGCGAGGGCGATTCACGGCTTGGTCAAAAAACTGTCGGCCTGGAACGTAAACGTGGATCTGCCGACACAGTTCACCTGGTTCACACGCCTGACCTGGCATGCTGCATTGCGTGAAAGGAACATTTTTCCGAAAGCAAGCTTCTTCTCCAAAATTCGAAATTTCCTTCCAAAAATGCCGTCGTCCTTGACCTCGAAGCTGAATGTTGTTAGGATAGAAAATTAGCGAAGATGTAGCCGACCCATTCTGGCAAGCCGTGTGCCCTCTGGATATGCAGTTGTTCGCCATGGTCAACAATCTTCTTCTCCTTCGTTCGTACTTTCACTTTCCTGACCACGAATACAAGCGGTACCCATGCTCAGGTTAGTGTTTATTTGTCTGTCTATGCACATACATGTATTACAATGTACTGTTCGTGCTGCAGGCACTGGCCGATCATGGAAATAGAGGAAGCAGCCAGCTTTCTTTGAATTCTCATCCTTTCAACAAAAATATGTACACACTTTCCTTGGCTCCTTTTTCCCAACGCAACCATGCATGCACTGCTTTTCAAATTTGTGTTTGCTTTGGCAGTGGTTTCATGGGCATCCTTCAGCCTTCCCTGGCATTCAAAATTCAGAATAGTTTCCACCCAGGTGCTAGTGCCTCTGTTCTGCTTAGCACATTGTAGTAATATTATTTGCAACTGTCCACCACTGCACTCTTGGCTCACATTCACCACACCATAGCGAGGAAGTTTGTTCTTGGATAGATGTCTGGAGGATGTAGAGCATCTATCCAAGAACGAACTTCCTCGCTATGGTGGGGTAAATGTGGGCCAAGAGCCAGTGAGGAGAGGTGGACAGTTTCAAATTATTTAGCCACATCCGATCCTTTCTCCGATAATTATGGACATGTTTTACTATACCGGTATATTGAATGGCCACTCATGCTTCTATTGAGAGGTAACACTATTCAGGAAACTGAGGAAAGCCAACCGGTGTTGCACAGGATTTGAGGTTGGGAAGAAAAGATGTTCCGATAAAAGAACTGCGAGTACATGGGAAACGTATTATGGAAAGGGCAGTCTGAGTCGAACTAGGATCTCCTGTTCCAGAGCGTGAATATGAATGACGTGAAGTCGCGGATAAAAGCCGGGTTTGCATACAAGCACATCGCAGATAGAAGCCTGAAAATCAAACGGGTCGAATGCATATAAGCCCGTCGCGCGTAGAAGCCTTGCTCTATGCAAGCGCGGATTGGGTGGGTCAAGAGTGCATGCGCTATGTATGGTGCATAGTCAAACTGCCGCCATACCGGTAGTCAGTGGTAGATCTACGCGTGTCGCACGTAGAAGCCTGGCATACAAGTCTGGCAAAAATATCAGTGGTGCATAATGAGCATGGTTTGCATTAAAACCTGATGGAGAAAGCGGCTTATGTGCTTATAAGCCCGGCTTTTATCCGCGACTTTATGGTACAGTAGAATGCCGATATTCCGAACAATCACTTATTCGAAATGCCAGTTTTCATATTGAGGAGCTAGAGTGTGTCTAGTTCCTGTGAAGAGAATGTGAGAAATGATGGAAACGTGAAGGAATGTGCAAGTCTTAGATGGATGTGTGACTGCTCCGTTATCCGAATTTTTCCCCATCCGAACCCCCTGGAGAAAGCGTGCGCCCGAGGGGTGCGGATAATCTACACTCTGCTGTAACAGTTATGTACAATGCGTGCCGATGCACATTGGACAACGTTGCAAATGTAGAATTGTAGGTGGACTGTGGTTCACATTAGACGATCGGAGTACCCCCACCAAACGAAGAGAGCTCAACATCACAAGGTAGAGCTTGCATGTACAATCGAAAAAGAGTACATATACCATTTAATAGCTGATGTTGTTAGTGTGCGTTACGAAGTCTGAAGAAAATGTTGAACGATCTCGGCTGGGATGACGGCTACACCTTAGCTCAGTGATTAGAGCATCGCTGGCCTCAAGCGAAGGTCCCTGGTTCGAATCCTGGTGGTGACAGTCAATTTTTCTTCAGACCTTTCCCGTTTGTGCCTTTCCCTCTAGCCAGTGAATATTACTGTTAGCTTCGTACTTTGAGTGATTATCACTTACAGTTACATATACAATGTACTTGATAATTTCTTAACGCATGATAATCGGAGTCAGTACCACAATATTCCTCCCTCACTATATGAGTCTAGATACTTTGAATGTGGAACAGGGTCCAGGACAGGATCGTCTGCTCTATCCAAATTATGGCCTGGTTGCAATTTGTCTATTTACCAGCAGGTACATACTAGGGAGTCATAGCACCTACACTGTAGGGAGACTACACAATACTTTATAGAATTTTGGGTCAGGATTTGGAGGTTCTCCGTGATCTGTGCAACCCGCGATCACGGCCTTGACCTACTGACCCTGAGAACGGCCCAGGTTAGCAATACCATGTACGCGCGTGTATAGATCTGCCCAATGGTGCCCCAAGGGTGGCTGAAACAGGAACCCCTGGGTCGAACCCCATGTCATTTAGCTTTACGGTCGCCTGTGTCGTCTACCTAGATGCTACAACTCCTTGCGTTGCACCCAGTTAATGCAGCACATCAAGTATACAGCCATGTAGTGTTGGTTGTCACCTGTTCTGATCGTGTGATATCACAAACAATCTTCTACGGTCCATTCATTTTTAACTTGGCACGTTAGGGGCCGTCCATAATTATCTATCTTTAACAGATTGAGTATCTTTAACACAAAACGAGAAAAAAATCGTTCATGGGCGGGTGGGTCAAGAAGGGTTTCGTAATGAAAAATATTGATAGCTGAAACACTAGTCCATTCCAGCTATTTTTCGTTGAGGGGTGAGTAGGTGGGGGTGGGGGACGGTCACAAGTTACTCATAACTAAACTTTTCATTTCGTGAAAATTATCGATAATGCCGGGTCCATAATTGTCGATCTTTTACACGAAGAGAAAAAGTTTCGTTTGTGGGTGGGTCAAGGGGAGTTTCGTTTCGAAAAAATATTGATATTACAGACATCAATCGGGGGGGGGGTCCTTCTTTCATTTCGTGAAAATTATGGATAATGCTGGATAGCTCCTTTAGTCTATGCAATAAAATAGTTGTTTTCTTCACACAGTACCGTAAAGTTTAAACAATATCCGGCCATGTTTGTACCGAACATTTTTTCGAAAGGTAATTTCTCAAATGTTGCCTTGAGTACATTCTCAGCAACATAGCAGGCCAGTTTCAAATAATTGGACTGCAAACTTGCATCGCTGGTTGTTGCAGCTCCATCACAGGTCGTATCACGGGAAATTGAGTCCAGCTTCACTTCTAGGTTGGGTGACACGTGATGGGCATCACTTCCTGCATGCTGGTGCATGTGACTCAAGAGCTCTGGCTGGCAAGCAGTTTTAGACTGCAGGTGCAATACAAGATTTTTCTGCGATGTGCTATGCATTGTGCATTGCATTTCTCGAGAGACACTTCACGCTATGTGAAAAAAAGAATTTCGCTCAATGTGGTATTGTGCATCATGCAATGCAACTTTCCCACAAAACTGGACTCAAAGCACCTTATAGCTGTGGTTCACAGCAAAGATTTTCCTATTTGCGACTCTTGGTTTAATCGGTGCAGTAGCATGCATGTGCCTGGTGATAGTGTTGCAATGGATCATAGTGAGGGCGTAGCAGTACTTGTGCACTGATAGTTGGTAATGGCATAAGTACATAACCAAGAGTGGGCAACTCGATGATCCCTCTGCCCACGGCAGAAAGTTTCATCACTTCGGTTTTTGTGGGCCATTGGGCTCACTAATACCATCATGCGTAGCCAGAGATCAAAACTTGTACATCACAGCTACGGTAGTTGAAGCAGAACAATGAACTGTGGATCCATGCCTACTGAACCTGATGAAACACTCTATCTACATGGCACATGTAGAAATATATGCGCGCTTGCTCATAATCATTGGATTTCGAAGCCGATCGCACCTTATGTTAGTAGTTGCACATTCTTAG